AGGAGGAGGAGGAGGAGTGGGAATTAATGCCCACTCATTGATGCACACAACAAACTCCATATGTATACAGCGTACATACAGGAATATATAGTTTGAACGTTTCGTACCCACTATGGGTATTGGATTGGATTGGATCGCCGCGTCAGCAATACAAACACTCGAGGTTCCCGATGTGGGTCGGGCGTCTGCCTGGTTTCGGTCCTCTCACTACCTCCCTATCCACCCCCAATGCCACCCCGCGCCTCCCTCACTCCTGTTTCCGACTGAAATTACATTTTCCCGTTCGTATTCTCCCTGCCATTGGGCCCCGTTTCAATATCTCTCCCATTTTTTTTTTCATTTTTTCCCCATTTCATTCGTCCCTTGTTGCTCAACTTTCTCTCATCTATTCCATTTTTATCGACTATTGTAGTTAAAAGAGATATTTTGTTGCGCAGAGATTAAAAAGTGGAGTTGTTTTTTTTTTTCAAAAAGAATTTCCATTAAAAGAGTTTTAAGGACTTGAATACTTGATGAAAATAATTGAAAGGGGGAATTTTTAGTGGTTTATCAATATTTGAGATTCACTGAAAAAATAAAAGTGATCGCAAATTAGCCAATTTTTATTATTTTATGGACAATTTTCATCCTCCCTTTTTCTCAATTGAAAATGTTAAGCGTTCATTTAATTTTTTCCAACTACGTTAATTTTAGTATAAACTGAGTTCAGTGTCGAAAAGGCCTATTTATTCATCGCAACCTCCAATATTTACTTATGCATACATTTGAGTGCGTGTATTAAGGCGAGATGAACCGGTTAAGTGGCAGAGTGGAGGTAAAACGTTCTCCTTTTTTCAAATGTCCGTGCAAACTTCTTCAACTATAGTGAGAAAGATTATCTCCATTTTGAGGGAAAGATTTTCCGGTGCTCGTGTACTTGAAAAGTGCAAGAGAGAGTTGAACACATGTATAAAGTAGTTTTTGTATGAAGCTAGTTAGACAGTGTCTCGTAATCCTCATTTGCCATTCTCTTGTTCTTGTTCAATGCTCGTTATCTCTTCTCAAGGTTCTTTTTTTTTGCCATCCACACCGCCTTTTTTTTAAGAAACTCGAGTTGAACAAAAAGGGAACGAGACGTTTTCACTTATTCCGCAAGAGAGTGAATTGCTCGAGAGGAAAATTTACGGGGCTAACAGTATGTAGGGTGTGCAGCAGGGCGTGGGGCAGTTGGAGAGAGCCATACCTCGTTCCTCATTTCGCCTCTTAAAATTATAAATATAAATTTCAAAGTGTATTCAAGTCTTCGTGATATGAATTCGTTGTAAAATGTTTTTAGAAATTTTTGTGAATCACTCTGGCGCTCGATTTTTTTTCCACTTCACCGATATTCATTACATTCTGGTTTTAATTGAGGATAATGAAAAACAAATTATCAACGAATAAATAATCTTTCTTACATTCGCACGTTTTGAATATAAATTTTCAAAAAATACAACAGCTCAACAACTAAACCAATTAAAAAATTCCGAAAACCCTGAAGGATAGATTAATTAAATTTTGTTTTCGCGTTTCTGAAAAATACTCCCCGGTAAAGCCAAAGCCCCTTCTTCACACCCCATCGAGAACGAACAATACATAAAATCCCGTAACTAATTCCGAGTGCATTTAATGACTACGGTGGGACAACACGCGCTGCAGAATTGATGCGTTACGTGGATCAACTCTCGGTGTGGAGTTGAGTGCTGGATACGGGGATGGAGAGAAAATTCAATGGGAGAGAGATGTAACTCGAGCGCGGGGAAATTTTTCAGGGTGCAAGAGAGATACTTGACCAGCGCGCTAATTCCCTCCATCTCACGAACGAAAAGAACATTTGGAAAGCGAAAATCACATTTTCCATTTAAAAATTAATAAAATGACATTTATTTCAATTGAAATGTTTCAATAATACGAAATAAATAATGACTTGTCAGTGGAACATTTTGTCGGATCAATTTAATGAAAAAAAAATTAACAAAGATAAAAGAAATGTTAATCTAATAATTAAATCGCCCCCACAAAGTTTGGATATTAAAAAATCCCTCTGCGTCGTTTTCCGCGACCAATAAATTTATCGAGCGGAGTGTTGGCATGGAGACCTGGCCGGACAGAGCTCTTTGGTTGGATGGGCTCGACTGGCGTGTGCGCGCACACACTCACCTCCTCCATCCCTCTTTCAAACAGAGACAGAATGACGAGAGGGAGAGAGAGATGATGATAAGAGGGTACTCGAGGATCCTCCAGGAGGCCGTCATGGGCCAAGTGGGGAGGATCCGCAGGGGGATGCCGAGCGACTAGAGGCAGGATATGAAGAGGCAAGAGAGAGGCCAGAGGTACCACGAACCGTGAATTGAAACAAGATGCTAATATCATATATATTTGTGACGAAAACGTGGGCGAGGTGACTTTGAGGGTGGAGTATCGATTTCTTGCGGTGATCCAATCAACGATGCCGCCTTTGGATTTGCTATAGTTATACACTGCGCAACGTCTCCACGGTCAGTGGAAAAAAATATAATGTCTCTGTTTAATTTTAAATTGTTGGCTAGCAAATTGTCTTGCAATTGCAAAATTATGGCTATTCTGCAAAAGATTGAAACATCTTAAAAACTTGCATCCACCTCCAACTTATATTCAATTTCATTCACCACTTGGATTATTACTAATGGCTACCAAGGAATGCACAAAAAGTGGATGCGATGATATAATACAGAAAAAGATGAAAAAGAAGAAGAAGAAGAAGAAGAAGAAAAGAACCGTTGGCAAGAGGTTTGAGGGGAATGAGGCAAAGGGGCCTCAAGGTACACTCGAGGGTTTTTCAGTCTTCATGATCGTGTGCGTTTATCCTCAGTTGGTAAAAAAAGGCGTTAAACATAGCGTGTATACGAAATATGTACACGTAGGTGTAAGAATCCCTTCTCTGAGTATTGGTGAGGCGCTCCAAGAGCCCTTGCTTTGACTCAAAAACCTTCCAGAGTCTGACTGAATGCCTCTCTATTGCATGAGTACGTGCCTTCTAAGTGGATCCTGATTTTTGTCGAAGCTCTTTGATTACGCCCACCTACCACTGAGGGCATTACCTCCACGTATCACTGGGTTTTGTAGTTTTTTTACAACTCTCTTTTACCTTTTTTTCCTTTCCTCCTCAAAGAGTTTGAATAATGATGAGGAAGAATTAAAGGGGTGAGAATGGAAAATGTGGAAATCTTTTCCAGGGGAAAGGGGGAATAGGAAGGTAAGAAGGTCCTTGTGCTGTGAGGATTCCCCTCAGGACACCAATGAGGAGTATCCTAGAGTCTTTGAGCATCCTTCACTCGCATCGTGGCCTCGTCAATCCCTCTTCCCCTTCTTCAGACTCCTCTTTTCCGTTGAACACAGTCAACTCTCTCCAACTCTTGGCTTTCTTCTGGATCTTTTCCACTCGTTTCCTGCTAGTGAATACACAACAACTCCATCCACTCGTCTTCATCACAGTATTTGGATGTCTTTACGCGAGAGAGTGGATCAAACAGACAATGTTTCAAAGTCTGATTTATCATAATTTCTCCAATTGCTCTAGTTTCTAATGCTTTGAGCTCAATCGGCGTTGAGATCGTCCAGAGTCAGGGGTTTGAAACTTGATACCGGTGGTTGGGAGTTGGGTCAACAAGGTAAGAACCAACTTCCAGTGGTCGAAATTGTCGGGAAAGTGATGCTGACGCCGAGAGCGTCAAAAGAACTGGTAATCCGATCCTTTTTTCCACCTTTTCTTTTGATAGCTCATCATTCCTGTGGCTCTGTTTAGTTTTGGAGGAGGGGTAGCTTTGGGATGATTTTACGAGGCGTTTTAGGGTAGGTAATGTAGTAGATTGATGAAGTGAGTTGAAAATTTTTTAATAGACAATCGCCATTAATGGCACATAATTGAGTCATTTTTTATTTCATTTTTGTGTGCGGCTCAATAGTGGAAAAAAAATCCACGCATGAAGGAGTCGAGTCGAGTCGAGTCGATGGGTTAAAGTCCACACGTAAAAATCCGATTCAAGGGATGATCCTTCGACGCACCCAGTGAGTAGCACAATGGAAGCGAGAAGAGTCCTCCTCCACAATCAGATTCCTTCATATGTACTCGACGTGGAAATGAGGTGGAAAACCGCAGCCCACAATAATACAAATTTCCTCGTTTTTTATATTCTACGGTAAATCCAACTTGAGTTTATTTGTTCGGGATTCTTCAATCTGTCGGATTTCAGCTCTATGTGGTTTTGATATTACTATTACGAAGCAACGATGTGGTGCATTCGCCCACAGGATTGATGCTTTAGACACGCATGAATGCGTAACACGTCAATGGGCCATACATCCAGCCCCCCAAGATTTCCAATGTTGTGTGAGAAGAAAAAATACTCTAAAGATTTTTCATACATATCTTCAAAAATAAAAACCAATGGAGAGTACAATTTGTGAAATTGCTTTATTTGATTTGCCCCAATTTCGAGAAAATGCCCAAGAACTGGGCAATTTTCTAAACCCGATTGAGCCTCACAAATTTGATTTCCATGCACTTGAGAATCCATGCGTTACCCTAATTCTCTCCCACTAGCTAATAGAAAGCTACGAGAGCTGCGTTTGCCAATCGAATGTCCCGATTTAATCCACTTTATTCATCCCATCCATTCATTCAATAAGTATAGCCAAAACATTTACGTATCTTTCCCTCGAAATGAGTAACTGTTGGCTGCTTTTAAGATGATTTCAATGGATGATTCTATTCTCCTTTATTGGAGTTTATTGGTGCACGTAATATGTAAAACACAGTGGAATTCCGTCAAATTCTCGTACAAAATGATGATCTTGATAGCGGGTAAATGGGCCGTGTATCCGTGCCGTACGAAAGGTCCACAATTCTCTTTTTTGTTTGGTAAATATTCGGCCTTTTCACCTGTACTCTATCGTCTGCTATTTATTCCTCTCTTATTTAACCACCACTGCCCCATTCATTCCTCTTCAAAGCAAATTACGGATCCCCCATTTCTTTATGCCATCGTTCTATTTTTAGTCTAACAGAGAGAAGAGAGAAAAAAAAATTGTGAACAATTTTAAATTAAAATTCTCTCCATTTTTTTTTTCGTTTCTTCTTCATCGCTTTTGACTTTCAGCAATTAACTTTCGTGGTGGTGGAAAAAATACAAAAGAAGTGGTGTATTAAATCGCATAAATTCAGGGAAGACTGGCGAGATTCTTTGAGGGTTAAAATTCAAGTGATAATGGAGCTCAGGCACAGGAGAAAATAAAGAAAGAGAAATTGAAAAGGATGAACGAGGATGAGATGAGATGAATCAGGTACAAGACGCGAACTCAATGGTGCGGTAGTGAATCCTATGGACGGGGTTCCAAAGATTTGAGGCGGAAAACAGTAAGTGCACAGCGGAGAGACACTGGTGAGAGGACATAATAAAGGAGAGGGGAAATTCCGTTTCTACTGAACATGTGAGAATAGCAAGTCAAGTTGTCAGGATAAAAAGCCATATAGACTGAGTATATCATGAGCCGTCGTTGATTATGCATACGAACGAGTTTGGGGAATCAAAGGACAATGGAAGCCTGTGGAAATGGTGTGAGGGAGTGTTGTGGAACGATTTAAAGTACAATGCGGCGTCAATGCGGGGAAATTAGCCGCAAGGCTCTGGAGTTGACGTCCGTCAATATCACACCGCCAAACGTGTGAACTCTGATCTTCTGCTCGGATATGTACCAGCACTTCACCAGCACTCCGGAGAACAGAACAAATAAAAACGTGAAAGAATTTTTTTCCCCCCCCAGGAATTGAAATAGAAGAAATAGGGGTGGAGGTGAGTGGTATGCAGAGAGAAAAGTCGACACATGAGAGAGAGAGAGTACCGCCCTTTCTTCAATCTGGAGGACCAGGCCAACCCCAGCAGACAGTCTCACTAATTACGCTGTGCCTCATTAGCGAGAAAGTCCCTCGGTTTTAAGGGGCAGCACTGGCACTCCCTTTGGCCTCATTCACAAATTGATTTTCACGTCTCTTAGCAGAATGAAAATAACGGAAAGTTGGAAAATATATCAAAGGATTACAAATACACTTTGGATTCTTTGAGCGTTGGATGGAAATGAGAGAAAATATATTACTTGACTTGAGATTTATTATTCTCTCGGTTCTCTCATGAAACACCATTATCTCAACTTTAAAATAGTAATCATCCCCAGTTCATTTCAATAAAAGACTTTTTTAAATTATTATTTAGGAAGAAGCTTGGCAGTAACAAAAGAAAGTAGTTTTAAAGAAAAATATGTTTGGTATATCGTAACGCAGAAAGAGTATGAAAACGGGGCGGAAGGGGTCTACCTACCGCACATCGGTAGCGAAAGACGAGAGCCACTGGTCGGGACCCTGGCGTTTTCGCCTAGGCACTGGGTGGCGTCGAGTGTTTGCAGTCCACTCGAAGCCCACGTCCCGAACGAGCCCGGGAGCCCGACGAGCTGGAACCTGCCCATGGTTATATACGCCCAACGGGCATCCACTATCACCCATACGGGATTTGAACACAGAACACCAAGAGAACGGGAGAGTATAATTTGTCTAACGAGGGTCTCCACCTGTCATCTGAATGAGCACAGAGTTCTCAGTGTGTACATTGCGTTCTTAGCATTCTTTTCTTGTCCATAATGTTGAAAAATAACAGCAAATGTAAGTGATTTTTTTTTCAGTTGATTAATTCCACAATTTTTACATTTCTCACTTTACAACTCAATGGAATCAATCAGTTGTTCTTTGCAATGAAAAAAAAAAGACAATTCCCGACAGATTAAAAAATTCATCGTTTCATTCTCACACGTTTCTCACCCAGAATTCTCGATAAAATGCCGAAAGAGAGAGAAAACGCACACTACCCAGAAGCCGAGAGTTACTTGCTAATTGGATAATTACGACTGTGCACCGGGGGTTTGTTTTATAATTGGGCAAAACGTACGGTGAAGCCGGAGGTGGGCGTGCACCGGGTGGGGGTTTCACAAACGCTTGATCGACGTGTCAAACAACGAAACGCCGGGAGTCACGCGTTACGTGACGAACTACCCTCCAAGCTAATCCACAGGCAAATCCCTACGCCTATCAGTCCCCATCAGCACTTGAGAGTTTCATGTCTCGTTGCCAAACGATCGTATGTAAAAATTCTTCTTAAAACGAGATAAAAATAGGACGAAATAATTTTCCAGTGAAAAATTACAGACGAAAAGAAAAAAAAATCCACGTCAGAATTTTTTTCCCTGTGGAATTAAATGCAAGTCAGTCTGAGCTTAAGCAGGGTCGTGCGCTCTGAAAAGAGAGACTAAAAAGAGAATTAAGGGGCGATTAAAGGAATCCCTCCCCCGGAGAGAAACAATGAAAAACACTTGTGAAGGATATCAGTACGTGATTCAGAATCGCAACGACTGAAACTCGACAGTCGTATTTTAATTCCTTTCTCTCTCTCCCTCTCCCTCTCCCTCTTTCTCTCTCTGTCAATTTTTAATTCCATCTTTGTTTTTTTTGTTTAATGCTTCCTTTCACTGATCCTGGAGATGGAAGAGAGGTACGATGAAGAACGATTGACTGAGTGACTGACTGACTCTCGGATTTAACCAGGGGCGGAGTTCAGAAAGCCTCTCACTCGTTACCCACAGCAATCGTTCCCCTCGCAAATATGTATTTCGCAAATAGTGAGGCCAATTCACGAGCCCCGGTGTGAGTCTCACGGGATTCATTGCTAATCGATAATCCGCGCATTAGTGCTCGAAAATCAAACAAATTTATCAATTCAGGGGTTCATTTGATTGTGAGGGGGCAAGTGAGGAGGGTCACACAGACGATGCTTCTTCCAAAGAATACTTCACGATAAAAATTCTCCGATCAATTAAAATTGATGCCGGCTGAGTAAAATGATATTTGCAGTGTGAAATCATTGCAAAATTGCATGAATAATTTTCTCTTTGCACTTACCGCGCTGATAAGAATTTTGTGGGGGTGGAACGTGAGAGTATTGGCCCTGATTCCTATTGGCATTAGTGTGATGTCTGAAAAATCCAAGGACAAATTTTTTTTTAATAACAAAATTCTGCGTGATTCCCAGATTTTTGAGGCTGCAATTTGGTATTTACCCTAGCATTCGGTGTCCAGCATCGCCAAGAAGGCCGATTTTATTGGAACGCACAAAGCCGATCTGAGGCTTCCACTGATTCCCATTGTCACGATTCATCTGTTCAAAGTCTTGGGGTTTTAACACTCGAGGTGGCTCTTTCACACCTTTCAATTTTTTTGCAGGGAAAATGTGGCCTGATGTGTACTTTGGATCACGATAGCTCACGCTGTAAATAGAAACAAAGAATAAAATTGTAATAAAAAAAAAGACTCATTTCAAGAATTTTTTTTTTTCCAGTTTAAAATTACCAGTAAACTTTATTATATCGAACAGGTGCTCCATTGATGGGCGATGGAAGAGTGGCCCCTTCACCGACACAATCCTCAGCCAATAAAATGATTCCTCTCATTCCGTCAATTGAAATCTCTGTCTCAGCATCTCGATCTACTCCATTCGTGTAGAGTCCCTTTATAAAATCGTATCCACTGTTTCCAGGCCCAACGTATAACCTGTCGTCACCTCTCACGTTACGTTTCTCTGTGGAATGAAAAGTAAAGAGAAGGAGTTAATGAGGAATTGATGAAGGCAGACTTTTGTTTATGATTGAAACTTGATTGAGTTGAGTTTAAATTACTTTCTGCTTCTGTCAGAACTTCATAATAAGGCTTGAGAGCCTTGAATAACCTCGTCTCATCGACGAATGGCAGTAGAGCAACTCCTTGCCAGGCAAACTTCTTTCCATTGAGATCAATCTTGAAGTCTTCTGGATAAAAATCTATAATCGAGGATCTCTGGAGGTGGAAAAAAAAAATTGCATTTTTTTAAATTGGAAAATTCATGTTAATAATGGAGGAATAGGAGAATACTTACAGGGTCACTCATCAATTTGGCCCATGGTTTCGGGACATGACGACTGCTGGCAGCTGGGAACACACCCATCAATTGTTCAAGAGGACGAAACTAGAATTATGAATAAAACGGCAGATGAGGCATTGTTGTTTTCTTTTTTTTTTTTTCATATGATGATAACTCACAGGCACAGTATCTTTTTCAAATTCAGTGGAGAGACCCCCAATATTGATAAAATCACTGGCAAAAGGCGCATAGTGATAAGGGAAATACCATTTCCACGATGCGCAGCCTTGATAGTAGTATCTCAAAACCCAGCAGAGGCCTCGAACATATTGAAGAGCAACATTGTTCCTTTAACATTGAGATTAAATGAAATGAAGTAAAATAAAAAAATGAAAGGAAGGAAAAAACTCACCTAAACTCGAGATTATCAATCGAGACATCGAACTTGGACTCATAATACCGATCCTTAAAGCCATCCTCCCAAAGTCTGACTTCATCATGTGCCTGATCATCTACCTCTTCCTCAACGTCATCACTCTTTCTCTTGACCCCCCTGTCGATCCCTGTGGATCCCTCAGGTACCATCATAGCCTCAAGAGCACTTCCGGCATCAGCCCCCTGAAGCTTGCGTTCAGCAGCACTAGTCGAGAAATTCCTCCCCATCATTCTCATCTGATACGCCTCGTGCCTGGCATTCTGCACAGGATTCACTTGGCCACCGACAGCCTTGGGTGCAAACTGGCCAGTGGGTACCCACTTGGGTTTGAAATTGCTGATTGCATCGAGCCGCCTCTTCTTGCTCTTCTCCCGCTGCTTGAAAGCGAGTTCGTTCTGCTGTCGCCTCTTGAATATCTCGTCCTCCATGTCCCCGAGATCAGAGAGGATCAGCTGAACCCTGTCGAGATTGACGTCTCCACTGTCGGTGAGAAATCCCCCAGTTTTGTAAACCGTCTTCTTGTAGAGATTGACTAATCTGTCGATGGCCCCTTCCCTGATCTCTAACGAGGGTAAATGCGGTAGGAAATCGTTTCCCACGAAGAAACACATGAAGACCCAGTCGTCAATAGCCCTCTCGAAGTCATATTTGAAGGGTAGATTTGGCATGTGCAGCTCTCGCTCCAGATACTCTCGTAAGACGTTTAATCTAACGAATATGAACTGGCACTCGCTTCCAAAAGCTACTTCGTCTTTGTTGGCGTCAGGTTCTGCTCCGGTGCAATCCTTCATCTCGTGTCCCAACTGTCCACAAATGTCGCAAGGTCTCGGTTTATTCGGCTTGAACTCCTCCCTGATGATGGTGAAATTGGGCTCATGAGTAGCCAGTCCCAGCATTATTAAATCAGCATCAGCACCGCACAAAACATGCTGAGTGTTGGGATCATGATCGGGTTGAGCTCTCTGACGACGAATAAAGTCCATTATCTTGTGCTCACCCTCTCCAGGGACATTGGCATCGCTCAGGATGACCTTGATCCCCTGCCAGCCAGGATCGTTGTTCAATCTCTCATGAATGTAATAATGAAGACAGGCAGAGAGTCTAGCCATGAATGGAGTGCCAGGGGTGATGCAGTTGGAATCAAAATGCTCTTCCTTAGGTTTCTCGGGGGGCACGTATGCCCCCTTGGACTGCAGTTCAGATCTGATTCTATTCATCTCGAATATCTTCTCTGACGTTTCCTTCGAGGCCCTGAACCTGCGCGACCGCTGCTGGTTCATTTTCGCTCGGGGGGCGACTCCATCAATCGCCATGTAGAGAAGCTTTCGGGGTCTGACTATGGCGAATAATCGGTCTATGCACTCGAAAATAGCTTCCATCATCTCGTCCTCGGTTTTGGGGGCTGGCTTGTCTTCCGGGTGGGTACAAGGGTGTATTATACCGTTCATGTCGAGGTACAAGTTGTCGAACTCGACCCCGTTGGGGTTCGGTTCTGATGAATCTATCGGGATCGCGACCCCATCGATTGATGTTTTCTGGGGAGAAAGATTCCGCGGAGCGGGCATGTTTACAATAATGAATACTTGTTTTCAGTTAAACTGAGAGCCACAGTTGGACCATGAAAAAATGTCCAATAGGAGAATAATGGGTTTCTCTCACAGTATAAAAGGCTTGTTTTAGTTTGTTTGGAGTTTATCAAGTGCCCGTGGGAGACATAACCTGGGTACTCACCTTCTGCTCGATGCACTCCACTATCACGGATGGATATTTACGACTCAGCCACCGGAAAAATGCTGGTACTCCCATTGTTGCACTTGGGGAATGAGTTTCGGTATTTCACGCGCAATTTTAGGGGGTTTTGGAGTGGGAATGTTTTTATTTTGGTGATGAATAAAAATTGGGATTGTGTTTTGGAGTTGTACAAGGGGTACACACTACACTTTACGGTCAAATGCGCATGCGCCTGGCGGAGTAGACACCGCCAAACGGACGGCTACCTCTCGTTTTTTTCATCTTTTTGTTCTTTGTTATTCGTGAAAAATCCATCACATATGTGCATTCACCACTTTTTTTAACAGTTTATTGTTGATATTCAGATGAGGATTTGTCATGTCATAATCCTCATCATGGGCATCATTTTATGGAAAATATTAATTTATAATTTTATGACAAAGGATATCGGTCAGCTAGAAGGCGGTATAATCGTCAGGTAAGAAACGAAAAATTTTTTTTACCGACGAATGGTGTATAAACGTGTTTTCACACATGTTTTTCAAGTGTGATCTTTGTGTAATCTTGAGCCACAGCATCACCAAGGATTTATTATCGTATACGTTACGTATATTATGAAGTCTAGACATTTGAAAATATCATACGCCAAATACCACGATTGCGCAACTTGTCCGCGCATATTCAATATGGCGGCTGGCTACTGGCAGAGAATGGCTGCTTTGGCGTTCGTCCGCGGATTTTTGGTGAGAAAGGGGATAAAATCGGGAAAATAAATAGTAATAATGCAATAATCAGTTAATATTGCTGGCAAGGAATGATTTTATCAAGATATCAGACTTTATTATTGCCTATTACCAAGTCTAAACGTCTAAAAAGTGCAATGCCAAATTTCACCATTGCGCAACTTGTCCGCGCATATATTCATCATGGCGGTCGACCACTGGCAGAGAATGGCGGCTTTGGCGTTCGTCCGCGGATTTTCGGTGAGAAAGAGAATAAAACTGGAAAAATAAATAGCAATCATGCAATAATCAGTTGATATCTATGGCAAGGAATGATTTTATCAAGACATCAGACTTTATTATTGCCTATTACCAAGTCTAAACGTCTAAAAAGTCCAATCCCAAATTTCGCCATTGCGCAACTTGTCCGCGCATATTCATCATGGCGACCGACCACTGGCAGAGAATAGCGGCTTTGGCGTTCGTCCGCGGATTTTCGGTGAGAAAGAGGATAAAATGGGGAAAATAAATAGTAATCGTGCAATAATCAGTTAATATTCACGGCAAGGAATGATTTTATCAACAAAACAGACTTTATTATTGCCTATTACCAAGTATAAACGTCTAAAAAGTGCAATGCCAAATTTCGCCATTGCGCAACTTGTCCGCGCATATTCATCATGGCGGCCGACCACTGGTAGAGAATAGCGGCTTTGGCGTTCGTCCGCGGATTTTCGGTGAGAAAAGGGATAAAATGGGGAATATAAATAGTAATCATGCAATAATCAGTTAATATTCACGGCAAGGAATGATTTTATCAACAAAACAGACTTTATTATTGCCTATTACCAAGTTAAATGTCTAAAAAGTGCAAATGCCAAAAATGGCCATTGCGCAACTTCTCGGCGCACATCCATCATGGCGGCCGGCCTTTGGTACTGAACCGCGACTTTGGCGTTTCTTCAATGAATTCTGAAGGAAAAAGAGGATAAAACCGTGGAATTAAATATAAACAATTGAACAATGAGTTTATAATGATGGAGAGTAATAATTTTATGGTGGATTTTGCATTAATTGTGAGGAATTACAAGTGCGATAGAAGAAAAACATCATTTCTACGTAATCAACATATTTGTCATGTCACAAGATGGCGCCTGATATGTAATTCTGGACAACATGACATTGTTTAGTATTTTGATGAGTTTATTGACTATACAAAAAATTATAAATTTAATTCAAGAGTGATCTGAGTGTGGAACTAAGGACTTGGTGAATTTTATTAGTGAAGTTGTGGTTAGTTATGAAGTGTGTCGACGTGTTTTCGGGCGTTCCGTTATTGCCGATGTGTTGGTAAATCCCCGAGATGGGGATCGGTGTGTAAAATCAGTGGCGAGTATTTTTCTTTCGGGTACATATTCGGAGTATTTGAATTGGAAAAATCGCAAGTGAAGTGTTGAAAAGTGATAGTGAAGGATGAAAGTGAAAAGACACCTGAACGGGGAATAATCATGGAGAATTGTAGGAGTTGGATTGGAGTGTATGCCAAGCTGCCGGGCGTTTCAGCGACCGGTGAGTCACTCAAAATATCAATTGTTTTATTCTGTGATTGTTGATTTCGGCGGCGGATAATGAGAGGAGGGAAAAATAACATGACAAAACACAGAAGTCTCTTCAATTAATAATACTCTTTTTAATTTTTTCATTTTCTCCTCAAGAGAGACAAACGATGCTTTTGTTGTTACAAAATGCGTATAATTATAGTTAGTTATTGACGATTCTGGATAGAAATGGAAGGAATTGCGTGATAATTTTCTGAAAAATCGTTAAAGTATTTTTGAAATACTACTGGTGTTCGTGGCTTACCTCTTTATATTATTATTAACATTGCGCGCGCTAATTCATAACAGTTTCATGCCATTCGGTTGGCTGATACCCTCGAATCCGAAATGCAAATGCAGTGCTGTAACAAAGCACTTCGAGGAAGAAAGGTCTGCGGCCCCACCCTCCCCGTATTTTTTTTTTTTACTATACATTGCAAAAAAAATTTAATCAGTGAAACTCAGTGAAAATTTAAATGATGATTCCATTTTTTATTCAATTAAGTACAATCAATAGACAATAGATACAAAAATACCGCTATTCGCCAGTGAAAATTCAAATAACGATAGTGAAATTAGTTTTTTTTCATCAGAGGACACTCAAATTGCAGTCTTTTTTACGATCCTTGAGGTGAGCAGCAGCAATCTTGGAGAAGACAGGGCGTTGTAGAAGGTTGTAGGACATTGTAAACATTTGCAGGGCTCTCTTCTCTACAGATGAGAGACCACTGCTGAATAAATCGTGAGCGAGTTCCAGGGGAGTGCCAAAGTCACATTCGTCTGCTGCTATCGTTGCCAGTCTCACCATTTCCTCGATTTTTGACATGTATTCTTTCTTTGCATCATCATCCCCCTCTTCCAGTTTCTCTAAAATCTTTTTGAATTGACCTAGGAGATGAACAAATTGTTGATCAACTTCTTCATCTGTAGAGAGTTAATTCTTGGTTTTTTGGTATTAAATCGATTCGTGAAGTGATTTTTGCGGTTTAAAGGGAAATAGCAAGTAAACATTCTTACTGTCAGTAGCTGCCAGAGTTCTGTAGCCCACTTGAGTTTTCTTGTCATAAGGTACAACAATTCCAGCTCCATGAAACGTCTTCGTAACAGATTTTCTATTTCTGGACCTCATGCTCAAAGAATCCAGTTCCAAGCTGATGTTATTGCTCTTGGCGAATTGCTTGACCTTTCGAGAAACAAGGGAGATGCTGGATTTCTCAAAGGGAGACGCTTTTTTCAGACGTTCTTCAGCGAAAGCACTGTGAAATAGTTCAAGTTAATTTATTGCAATTTCTTATTTCTTTATTAATTATTGATTGATTAATTTACTCACGAAACAGCACCGAAAATAGTTTCAGCGACAGGTAGAATTTTACAGTCTGTCATTGCTGAATTTCTAGCCACGAAAACTGGTAATTTATCGTCTTCATCTCTCCAGTAGCCAAAATGCAGCCCTTCTTTATTATTACTTTTCAAAATTGTCTGCGAATGAAATAAGAATCACTGCAGATTAATTTTCATCTTCACCAATTGTGCTTAAATAAAGGCCGTGACTATTCGCACCATTGCGTGAATCACTCCCGTACACTCCATAGACTCCACGCATGCGTGAAGTTTGTGTGTTTCACGCATTTGTATTTTTATGCACCTGTGTGTTTCACGCAGTCGTATTCAGATACTCCTGTGTATTTCACACTCCTGTGTGTATAAACACACAGGTGTATAAAACTTCAACTGCGTGAAACACACAGTAGTATGGGACTTCAATTGCGTGAAATACACAGCAGTATAAAAATTCGGCTGCGTGAAACACACAAACTTCACGCATGCGTGGAGTGTATGGAGTGTACGGGAGTGATTCACGCAATAGTGCGAATAGTCACGGCCTTAAATAAATCGCAGTTATTGTTGACAATTACCTGAAATTCAGGTGGATCATAGAAATATCTCCAGTGCCTCAGATACTTCTCTTGGTCTTCCGAAGAGAATTTCTTAATTTTTCCAAACAAAACATCAAAAGGACCGACGAGTTCCAGTCCAACAGCCCTCAGAGCTGATCCTGGAGCACCAGAAGACAATGAGCAACAAAATTCGTAGAACTGATAAAAATCCTCTGGCATTTCGAGGAGAAAAATCTGTTTAATTAACTGCTTCTGTTCCTGGGGGACAGAGTCTTTGTATTTTTTCACTTCTATAACTTTTTCTTTTGTTCTTTGAGATGATGAAGGAGTATCAGAAAATTTTCTCGACTTATCATCATCCGCTGGGCTCGTGGTAGACTCTGAAGTAGTTTTTTCAGGGGATTCATAGATGCTAGAGGGTTTCTCCTTTTCATCTTCTGATTCCTCGTCTTTTGATGATGAAGATTCTTTCTTTTCTGAGTCCGCAGGATTATCATCGTCGCCTGAGGACAAGGAAGGAGTTGGTGACGTTCTATGTTGATTCTCAGAGGTGTCTTTTCGTATTTTGGCTTTGGGGAGAGCGGTTTTCGCATTAATCTTACGTTTTTGGGGTTTTGATACTGTTTTTTTAGTCGAGGGCTTCTGAAAGAATAAAAAGAGATGACTTGAAGTATTATTTAGGGACTGAAGGGAACAAACAGTTAAAATCGGGCATGAAATGATTTTTGTAGTTGAATAATTTTGCAAATATCTCTGGAATTTTTGGATCTTAAGTAAAAATTAAATTAATAAATACCTGAGTCTTCACTGGTGGATGTTTATATTTCTGATGATGCACAGGATTCTTCTGATAACATTTGGCTCCATACTGACACGCGATTCTGCTATCCTTCTGGTATACCTCCAGAGGATTCACTTGATCATCTGCCATGTCTTAATATTTCTACTCAACAATGGAACAAAAAAATAATCGAACGAAATCCACGAGAATTTATTGCTATTTTTCTTTGATAATATTCACATCGATCTCCTCCACCAAAAATACCGCGAAATTGTCTTGAATGAGGTTATGTGAACCAGTAGAAATGTCCGCTGTCAACTTACCGTGGAAAAATAACGAGTCAATATTTCCCATTTCCACAAATGGACCAATGAAATCACTGAGTTGAAGAGAAATATCACAACAAAGCCGGGAATTTTTCTCGGAGGGAATTCGAATAATTCACATTATCTTTGTGTGGAAGTACGAACGGGCCCCTTTTTTGTTGGCACTTGGTGGCAAGTTTCTGTTCGAATTTCCACCACCATATATTATAAAGTGTTTTCATAATTTCCAAGTGATTAACGACAAAAGCATGTTCTCGAGTAAGGTAAGTAATGCAAGAATGATCTGGAATTATTATTTGAGATGGAAAGGCCATGTTTGAGGATGACATTGATCGAAAATTTATTTAAGGTTATAACCCACGTGTGCCACCAAATGAGCCGGCTATCGCCAAGACTTGCCTCTACAGTTTCTGAGAACACGAGGATTGAAAAAAGTGAGGAAAATTATTTTTCTGAGGATTTTTTAAATATCTTGGAAAATTTAATTGGAGTATGAGTCCCTGCAAATACATTGCATCATTATTTACAGCTATGAATGTATTTTCAACTCTATTCCATTTATTTATTGCCTTTCTGCACAACTGATGGAATAAAATTTTCGTTTCAGCACTGAATCAAGTATCTCTACTAGGCAGAGTTGGGGCAGATCCTCAGAGAAGAGGATCTGAAGAGCATCCAGTGGTTGTTTTTTCAATGGCAACTCACACTAATTACAAATACGACGGAGGTGCAAATCCATTACCCAAAGGAATATTTTTCCATTGAACATTTACATCATTTTTTTTTTATTCCACAGGAGATTTCGTCCAGAGGACTGACTGGCACAGAATCTGCGTCTTCAAGCCCAGTCTCCGTGACGCAGTCTACGAATACCTGAAGAAAGGTCAACGGGTGATGGTAAATGGCCGACTGAGCTACGGAGAAATTAAAGACGAGGCTGGAAACCCGAAATCCACGACTGCAATTATCGCTGACGACGTGATATTCTTCCAGAGTAATTGACAAGAATACTAAATATCAAACTATCCCCTTCAATTTCCGCCATAATATTAAACACTGGTTGCAATGTTTTCAACTAATTTTCTCGTTCAACTTGTACAAACAATAATAATGTAATTTTTCTAAAAAAGAACCTGAATCTTTTATTTTGACGACCATAAATTCATTTCATACAGATTATTTTGAAAACTAGTGGGGTTGAGGGAGAAATTCCAGGATTTTTCTTTTATTTAAATAATTTTCATTAATCGTGAAGTGAAAAGGGAATATGAGATAAAAGAAAGACATGATTAATAAGTAGATGAGTTTATATTTACATCGTTTGGAGTGTCTCCATAACAAGTACAATAAAATGGCGCTAATCTATCATTTTACAAGTGATATAATTTGTTTTTTATACACTATATTTTTTTTATTCACCTTAAAGCCTAGAATTCATATAAACGTAATTTTCACATTTCTCCAATGATAATCGATTAGACTCCAAGTCCTCCCTACGATATCAACGATCCTCTCATACATATCTTCCTCGATCCCACATGGCCGTTAATGTTATAAATTATATACAGTTTCATAGTTGAAAAAAAAAGATAATTGAACATATACATTATATTCTCCTTAATTCTATATTAACTCTTAGCTATTATGCTCTCATAAAACTCGTATGATTTGAAGAGAATTCATCTCATGTGTCGTTAAATGAACTAAATATTTCACATTTCAATGTTTTCATTTTCATTTATCCTTATAGAGATCACAGTATACAAGAAGCCAGATACAGGTTTCAATTCTATTAAATTCGTTTTCACATAGTTCTTTTCTGTTAATTTTTTTTCTCATTCGCGAGTAAATCGCAGATTGCGATGCACGTGGAAAAATACACTTAACCCTTTAAATCACGATTTCCATACATATTTTTTAGCATTCAAATTATCTCATCAACGAGTGGAGGTAAACACCGGCTTTGAATTGTACCTCAGTGGCTTGACAATGTTTTTTTTTCTCCGAGAAAAAATAGTGAAAAAACTAATTAATAACTATAATTTTCCAGTTTACAAAAATTTTGAATATAAATTTTGGTATTCAAAAATATATATAATATTTTTTTTATTTTTATATATTCATATATAAATTTAAATATAACTCTGGCCCCGGAATTTTTCTCATAAAATTCATTTTTCCTACTGTTTTTTTTTCTTCTTCACTTTAGATAGAATTTGTCTTTATCAAATTGTTTTCTCTCTACTATCAATTTATGTAGTGTGTATCATTACTCTTACGTTCGCTAGGAGTAAAAATCTATTTACATTAGCCATGTATTTATTATGTACCTCTAAAAAATGTTATAGTCTATCATTGAAATTGCAACCTGCCGAACGTATTTGCACGCCTTTAATATCAAACAGGATGACGAAAGAAATATTCGGGTACTTATCCCCCTAGAAATAAAAGAATTTAACGTACAGAATGGAAGCTCGATAAACTACATTAAAAATTAGGGTAGGCTGGGGTAGAATGTACGTGTCGATATTTTTATAATATTGTTCTACAAAAAAAAGGATGAACCGCACAATTTTTTCATTTCCAATGAAATTTGTAATAGCAGAACAAAAATATGTCTATTCGTTCATTCTACCCCATATATCCCAGTTATTCTGACGTACACAAATCATACTCATTCTCTCTAAGTGATAAGGTAACGTTCTTGGCACAGATTTGTGGAAAAATTAAATGACGGAAATTGATCAATTGATGATCAGTTTTCCAGGTTCATCGCCTCTTCGAGTCAATTCATCGAATGACATTTTATCGTTTCCAAATTATTTAACATAAATTTTATCGTGTTAATGCAGACCGATTGAGCGAATGTTGAGGAAAACGTGAAGATGAATGAAAAATCTATCTGAAAATTAATTTACGGAAAATCGATAAAATATCACGGGTTGGATAATAATCGTGAAAAATCCAACTGGAATCTCATACGGTATTGCGGAACGTAGACTAAACCAGATCGTTAGGTTGTTTTTTAATTCAGGGCTGAAGTGAAAGATGGCGAAATTCCTTTTCCACTTCCACTTCAACCTTAAATCATTATCCTGTGAAAAAAAATGTATTTTCCTTCTATCCCAGCGCTCAAGAGATGCTTTAATATTTTCGGCTCTATGGATCAGTCTTTTCTCGACATAAATTCCCATCGAGATCCAAAAGACGCGAATGTCAAACGTCATCAACGTTTATCAATGCTCACTTGGTTCACCAACTCTCTTTGAGCATCCAAATGAACCCAAATTAAATTCTCCTTGATTGGGTGTCAGAGAGAGTATAATTCAGTAAATGCGACCCACTCACGCAATATAATATTTCGTACGTTATAGGAGCAAGTGCGGTAGAATGGACACATTTGACTCGCTTTATTGAAAACAATGTCAAAAGTGTTCATTTTGCCCTCCCCCCCCACCCTTCCCTAATCGTTCCAAAATATCAACTTGAACGTAACAGCGACGATTGTCAAGCAACAGTGAGAGTTAAATCGTTTCATTTCTAGTCGCTGTTAAGTCTCACGTCACTTCCTCTCTTCCGGCTCTTGATTAGTTTTAACGAGATTGTAAGCGTGGCTACGATATTTCGCTGGTGGATCGAGAAGTGGTAGAGGTTGTACATGTGACTGTTCACACGAGGGTTGATTCATACTTGACATTGAGAGATCCGTTGGCATGTCAACTTCCGGCTCCATGCCGTTTGATATCGTATTGTCCTCATCGGGCTCGGATTTTATTCTCATTTGTTGACGAAGGAGAGATATATTCTTAATATTCTTCAACTCTGTTGGATTACGAAGGAATCTGAAGAAGAAAATTTAATAATTAATCGCTGAGATGATCAATCAATTGTCCGCTGGCTATTAAATCAATTGGTCGACTCAATAGCAGAATTAAAGGAAATCTTTTTACACATCTAAACCTGTTTGTCGAGGGGATACTTACTGGTAGCAATGACGTTCTCCCTGGACTTTCCTCAGTATGTTAACTCTGTAGTAATAACGCAGTGCCCTGCTCATTTTGTCGTAATTCATTGATAAATGATTCTTCTGGATTCCCCAGAGTCTTGCCAGTCCGGGGGGATCAACTATTTTGAATACACCGGTTTCTCGGCTCTTCCACGCGATGTAATGGGTGTATCTCTGGCTGGGGTCGTTCAATAGTTGCTGGAGGAAGTCCCATAAAAGTCTTCCATCTGCAAAAGGACAAATATACTTGGATGAATTGGAGTTGCAAATTTTGTAAAATTTTCCCCACGAAAAATAACAAATTTATCTCATTGTGGCATTTGAAGCCTCAACTTTAATTCGCCTGACAAAGCCCCACTAGATTGAAATAATTAAGAAAAATACTCACTTGTATTGGGTTCGGGTGAGTCGTTGGGGAAGAATTCTCGTGCATTAGAGCCAGGCCTAAAGCCACCAGGCGTAAGTGGCATCAATTGGGACGATAAAGTGGGACTCGGTTGGTCCTTAACACAAACTTCACTGAGCCTCTGCGCAGTAAGTGCCGTTGGTGTGGCTGGTGGACTGCTACTCCCCTGCTGATTATCCTCATCAGAGTCACTCTTATAAATCTGCGTATGGCCATTCTCAGTGTGACCCGGTGACCCAGCCTGACTGTCCACCGAAGGTGCTGGCGATAGTGTCACAGAATTGGCTGACATGAGTGATGCTAAATTAGCGGCGTATGGATTCTCAACCCACGTTGGTGTTGGTGGATGCGAGTGTGGACTCAGTGGATATGCCGATGGTCGTGTGGGTGTCACTGGACTACTGGGTAGACATCTCTGGAGTTGATTAAAATCACGTGCCAACATACCAAGGACATTGTGAAGTACATCACCAGCCCCTGGGCATCTCTCCCCAAAATCAGATTTCGTCAAAAGACAAAGGGCTTTTCCATTCATTTGGAACATATCCATGTCGATTGAAGGGAGTTCAAACTCACGTTCCGCCCAACGCAGAAATGTTGTCACATCATCGCGAGACCATACACGTGGATCTGAAGCTATTTCCAATGGAAAAGGAAAAGAGGAGACATTAATTTGTTAGACATCTCTTTGTTGCCATGGCTATTGAGCAATAATGAAAGGAAGATAAATTTCCGAACGGCTTGAAATCCCAGTCCCGGGCCTATCGGTAATTTTCCTCGGTGCATATGATTGACCTCGTGTTCCTCGGGAAAAGTAAAAAAAACTTACCGAGACTCGATGGCAAGTGGTTTTTAAAATCCAACAGTGAGCCAGATGATGGATGTGAAGTGGGTGGAAAGCTCATGGTTGGTCCATATCGCCATAGTAGATCTGTGGGACTGAAAGGCAGGGATATCCCTGGTGGGAGACGTGAGTCCATTCCCGTCATGCCGCCAGCGGCGGTGACTGGCGGTAGTTGCGGCAATTGGATCGTCGGCACTAGTTTCATAACACTTATGTAGTCGCAGGTATCAGCACGTGCTGGAAAAGAGAAAAAAAAATTCAATATGAAGAGAAAATTGTTAAAAACAGGAACATAAATAATGATCAATGCGTTGTGACGTCAAAGAAAATACAGGTGAAACAATAAACGAGGAGAATAAGACAATTAAGGAGTTAGTGTATGCGCCGCTATTTCCATGTTATCGCTCCGAATAATGACCTCGTTATCAGTCGAAAATAAAAAGAATAACCGCCCAACAACGAAATAACGCCGAAACACTTTTTCATCGATCATGATGATGATGATGATGATGATGATGATTATTATTATTATTATTATTATGGGAAAGGGTAGAACGTCAACTGAATTATCATAGAATGTGAAGGTCTCAAAGTTTATAAGAGGTAAAACAACGACGTCGGTGCGAGAGGCGGGCAGGAAGACTGGTATCCGTTCTCCGTCCCGGATTTGCATACCATATTTCCATCGACGTCGAAGGCGCTTCCGCTTTAATACGAAAACGACCTCCAACAGGAAGAAAGAGCCAAGAGAGCTTGCCTTTTAATCGTATCAACCTTCGATGTGTTGTTTTCATTTTAAACGCTTTTTATTGAACATTATTCATTGCATTAACATCAATCTTTTCTGCATACGTAACGATGGATATTTTTTCCATTCTATTTCCGTCATGATGAAAATGAAAATTGATACAGAAAAAAACAAATTGAGGAATCGATTGCAAAATGTCAAAGTTGTTTTCGAAATTAAAATCTCGTGTAATTTTGAAAATTCTCAAAAATGCATTCATGAAAATTCTAAAAAGAGTCAATTAATAATGTATCCGACGATAAACGTTAGACCATCACCATCGGATTGGCCATGACGTGGAAGATGGCAATTTCCTGGTGCGAGAGACAACGGCACATCGACCTTCGCGTGCCGGGAGTCCGCCTTCTTCTCAGTGCCCTCTCTTCCTCACAACTTTTTTTTTAATTCTCCTCTTCTCAACTATACATTGCCACCGCGCCTTCCACCAAACGTTCTCTTCTCACTCGTCTATTTCTCTCTCTTGCACACGATAACACTTGCTACTCCTCTCGTCCTTCTCACTGGATTTACCATTCCAGTGCCACCTCTATCATCCTGAAACCTTTGGCTCGGGGGCCCTCCGGTCGCCTCGACTCTTACGCAAGAAAGGTAACAAACCAGATTCCCCTGTAGCGGTTCCGTTCCCCTCTACTCGCATCGTGCAATACAACCAGAAACTCGGGCGGTTTTTTGCATTCAACGTGAATCGCCTACAGCCATTGCTCGGGTCAAATTTACTAGGCTGTCATCATACCAAAGCGGAAAACATATTTGTGTAAATGATATTTTAAAAAACCTACTAACAATATTCCACTAGTCAATCAATTTCCGTTAATTAATTTCGTCCTATTAATTAATCCCCTTTCATCAAATGTAAACTTTATCAAGCGGATAAAATTCAACCATTGAAAGCTGATGTTAATGAACGATTTATCTGTTCAATTTCAATCGGCTGATGAATCAATTAATTCTGCCAAGCAGAAATGATTGAATTCTTCCGGTTCCACATATGACAGAACGAACCGATAAAAATTCCGTCATTATCCCTCACTGATTACACCATCTAAAATCAATCGATCGATGATAAATCGATCACCACGTGTCATTTTTTTTCCACCGGCAATTATCTCCACAATCTAATCACCGTAGCAACAAAAAAATACTTAACACAATTCATACGTCATCCGTACGTAATCTCCCTCGTTTATCCTCTATCCCATTCGAAGCTACCATCGTAAATAAACTTCCGGTTTCCCTGACTTTAATGCCCCCCTCCCCCCTTCAAGACCATAAAAAGAATCGCCTTTTTACCGTCAAATGGGGGGAAAAAAACCTCAGGAATAACTCCCAACTATCTCGATGAATAATTTGCACAAGATAGCAGGTTCTATAAATGATCGTGTGATAAAAAAATATACATTCTCGCCGTTGGCACACGAAGAGGCACGCATACACAGGAGGGTAGAGGGCGGGGGGCAATATAGTGTGCGAGGTCGACATACGGGATCGCCTTAATCGACTTGTCGGAAGTCGATACAGCGAAAGGTCCCACGTTTGAAGCGCGACCTCGTCGTTTGAACAGTTAGCTTGGTCCAGCCTCTAAGTCAGGTCAGATCATTTTTTTTTTCATTTTTTTTTTTGAGGAAAAATGGCAGGAAACTCACGTTAGATTCCGGTGAAATTGCTTTCCTGGGGGTTGAGAAGATTTTTTCTTCTTCTTTTTCGTTGGGAATGCCCAATTTGGCGGGTTGAATTGATTAATTCCAATTCAATTTATATACAATTCTTTTGGCATCCGTCATAACGTCTTCTGCAATCAAAAGCTATTTATTCAGTATTCGGATTTAATTTAGAAAAATTTAGGGGTGTACAAGTATTTTCAAGTCATGTGCAAAGCCATCCGCACTTGAAGAATGTTAGCATCCCTTAATTCGTGTTTTGGCTGATCCGGCCAGAACATGTCACCCAATTCCCCAATCAACCCTTCCAGCATTAAAAACTTGACCAAGAAAATGCGAAAATCAAATCCGTGAAGAAAGGTGCGGTGGCTCAATACTCATTGGCTTCTTAAACTCGCAAACGATGTCATGGAGTTAACATGCTTTATTCATACGACCACGCGAGGGAGCTTTACATAATGCATTTCGGTGCGGCGAGGGGCAGGAGGGGGAGGGGGTTGGCGAAGGGGAGGTGAAGGAGACTAGAGGTGAGGTGCTTAAAACACCAACGACTAAACTGAAAACTCCTCGAGCCAACGGGCAATCGAGTCTCTCTCCGGGTATAGGTCTCGCTTTCTCAAAACGAAAACGTAAGAATGGCGCAATCCGGAAGCGATGCTTTTGCCGCTCGACTCGGTATTTGAGCACCACTGAGTTGATTCTGCGATACCGCGGCGGGAGGGGAAGGGGAGGGGGGGGGCTCCGTTGCGCTACAGCACGATCTCCTCCAGCCGGCAAGAAGTTACGCTCCTGGGGAAGAGTATAGTGACCTCTCCTCTTTGCCATTTTTTTTATTCTCCTGTCTCTCTTGGCGTTTTTTTTTATCTCCCATTCCGCCTTTTCAAAGTGTTTTCAACCTTTGGGGGTATGTGTATTCGTCTCTCTCGGTCATTCGCTTAAATGGGTTTAATAATGTCACTTGTGCAATTGCCCTCCGGGATGAGGAGAGTAAAAAATAAAGAATAGAGGTGACGTTATTTGTCGCTTCCTCATTTTCTCAAATGCGACACGAGAATCTTGTAGAAAATTTTTCAAGCAATGAAAGAGATTACACTAACGATAATTGCACTTCATTGAGATATATAACGAAAGGGGAACTATTTTGTTATATTTATTATTTATGAAT